CCCCGGGCAGGCACCTGGTGGGGGTTCCAGTCGCTGTCGAAGATGATGACGGTGTCAGCCGACTGCAGGTTGAGCCCCAGCCCCCCGGCCCGGGTGCTGAGCAGGAAGATGAAGTACTCGGAGCCCGGCTCGTTGAACGTCTTCAGCAGCATCCCCCGGTCCTCTGCCTTCGTGGTGCCTGGGGAGGGGGGCACAGCGGGTCACTAGGGGCCGGGGGGGGCTGGGGGGGCTCAAACCCTGGGCTGGGGGCTCAAACCCCGGCTTGGGGGCTCAAACCCCGGCTTGGGGGCTCAAACCCTGGGCTGGGGGGGCTCAAACCCTGGGCTGGGGGCTCAAATCCCGGCCTGGGGGCTCAGGAGGGAAAATTTGGGGTCCCAGAGGGTTAAATCCCAGCCTGGGGCCTCAGGGGGGACACTTTGGGGCCCCAGGGGGTTAAACCTTGATATCTTGATTATCCACCTCGATATCTTGATATCCACTCTGGTATCTTGGTATCTACCTCAATATTTTGATATTTACCTTAAAATCTTCCTTATACCTTAAAATCTCGATATTCACCTTGATATCCCCTTCCCTGTCTCGATCCCCACCTCGTCACCCTCGACATCCACCTCGACCCCTCCACCTCCCCCTCCACACCCCCCTCAGCACCTCTCCCCGACCCCACAACCCCCCCAAATCCAGGGAAACCCCCTCCCAAATCCAGGGAAATCCCCCCCCAAATCCAGGGAACCCCCCCCTTGGGGGGCACCCACCGTCCAGCCTGAGGTATTTGAAGCCGCGGTAGGCGAAATAATCCTCCATGATGGTCATGAGCGAGGTCATCTGGCAGAAGAGCAGCACTTTGTGGTTGGTGGCCCGGAGCTTGGGCAGGATCCGGTCCAGGAGCTCGAACTTGCCGGAGGCGCGGTACAAATCCAGCCTTGGGGGGGAAAAAATGGGATGAATCGGGGGGAAAACGGGATTTGGGGCCGTTTGGGGGGGAATCCTGGGTCATCCCCCTGCCCCCACGGGCCCCTGGAGTTGGGGGATTCACCCATTTAACCCCCCCCTGGATCCCCCACTCACCCCTGCACGATCCCGCCCGTGAACCCCAAGTGCTCCGAGAAGGATTCCTGGAGTTTGGGAAGAGAGACAGGTCAGGGGCCGGCCCTAAAAACTGCCCTAAAACACGGCCCTAAAGGGTTTGGTCCATCCCCAGGGGGTTCAGTCCCAGTCTGGTCCATCCCCAGGGGGTTCAGTCCCAGTCTGGTCCATCCCCAGGGGGTTCAGTCCCAGTCTGGTCCATCCCCAGGGGGTTCAGTCCCAGTCTGGTCCATCCCCAGGGGGTTCAGTCCCTGTTCTGGTCCATCCCAGGTTGGTGTATCCCTGTTTTAGTCTATCCCAGGTTCATTTATCCCTGTTTTAGTTTATCCCAGGTTGGTTTATCCCTGTTCTGGCCCATCCCAGGTTGGTTTATCCCTGTTTTAGTCTATCCCAGGTTCATTTATCCCTCTTTTAGTTTATCCCAGGTTGGTTTATCCCTGTTTTAGTCTATCCCAGGTTCATTTATCCCTGTTCTGGTTAATGCCAGGTTAATTTATTCCTGTTCTGGTCCATCCCAGGTTGGTTGATCCCCGTTTTAGTCCATCCCAGGTTCATTTATCCTTGTTTTAGTCTATCCCAGGTGGGTCTATCCCCGTTTTAGTCTATCCCAGGTTGTTTTATCCCTGTTCTGGTCTATCCCAGGGGGGCTGATCCCAGTTCTGGTGGATCCCTGTCCTGGGGAGGCCCCACCTCGATGTGCTGGAACATGTAGGGGTGGTTGCAGATCTTCCTCAGCTGCATGATCGTGTTCATCAGGGTCTTGGTGCCGCCTTTGCCCTGCAGGGGAGGGCCCAGGGGGGGTTAAAAACCCGGGATGGGGCGGATCCCCCTCCCAGCATTCCCAGGAATCCCCTGGAAACCACCCCCCCCACAGGTTTTTGGGTCCCCTCGGGGCGGAGCTGGAAAAGAGGGAATTTCCCACCTCCCGCTTTCCCTTTGGGCCCAAATGACCCTTTCCCTCCCTCCCACGGCCTCATTCCCCTCGAGCATCCCCTGATGGCCCCGAGGGGCCGCTCAGATCCCCCAGGGATCCACT